TTAAAAGATGTGAGTGTGTATTTGTGTGAGCGCCCGCGAGCATGTGAGTATGTGTGTGTGAGCGCCCTCGCACGCGTGTGTGTGTGTGAGCGCCCTCGCACGTGTGTGTGTGTATGTGAGCGCCCGCGCGCGCGTGTGTGTATGTATAGGAAAGGGGGTAATGTTGTGTAAATAGACAAAGGTCCTGTGAAGAATGCCAATAAACCCATAGAATGTGAGAACAACATGAGGCAGGCCGTTAACCGACACAGACATTCTTTATCCTGAGAGCCGACATCACAGTACGCAAGTCACTCCCACGAGCATCCCGTTCCCTAACTTAGGCAGCAAGCACAGAGTTACAGTTCCCACAGTACGCGAGTCACTCCCACGAGCATCCCGTTCCCTACTTAGGCAGCAAGCACAGGAGTTACAGTTGTACGCGAGTCACTCCCACGAGCATGGTTCCTAACTTAGGCAGCAAGCACAGAGTTACAGTTCCCACAGTACGCGAGTCACTCCCACGAGCATCCCGTTCCCTAACTTAGGCAGCAAGCACAGAGTTACAGTTCCCACAGTACGCGAGTCACTCCCACGAGCATCCCGTTCCCTAACTTAGGCAGCAAGCACAGAGTTACAGTTCCCACAGTACGCGAGTCACTCCCACGAGCATCCCGTTCCCTAACTTAGGCAGCAAGCACAGAGTTACAGTTCCCACAGTACCAGTAACAGCCTGATTGTTCAGCATGGACCAGATTCCCTGGCCGCTCTTCACTGCACAACTGTCTTCATACCGTGAGGACCTATTTGTGCTTCTGTCCTGTTTAATCGCCCTACAAGGACAGAGAAATAGAAGATATACAGACAGAAAGGCTGACGTAGGCAGGTAGGGAATGGGGGGATAAGCAAGCTAGCAATAGTCAGGAAGTCATTGAAGCATGCCAGTGGGCATGTACAAAATGTGACGGGTTCTCAGACAAACGAACTTATAGACAATCATCGCTTTTTTCTTACAGTATGCAGTACAGGTACCTTTTTTAAGGCTCCGATTTTTTTTTTTTCAGCATTACTGTAATAGTTTCTCCTTCTTCTGCCTTTTTAACTCCCTATGGAGCATAAGCCCTCAACCAGCACACGCCAAGACGTTCTATTCTTTTCTTTCCCAAGCAGTTCTCTCCATGTCCTCCCCATCATTTGACCTCATTCTCTGGCTCCCTTCTCCGTGTGTTTTTGTTTGTCTTCCTTTGTTTCTATGCCACTGAGGGTTCCAGTGCAAAGATATTTTAATAATATTGTTCGCACGCTCTCTCAACGTGTGTTCTATCCACCGCGGGTCTTTTCTCCATCTCTGAGTCAACTGTAATACTTGAAACTCTGTGCTGAGTGCCGGTACCTTTTCTTTTAGAAAACAAGCTCTGTTAAAAATATACAGAGATAAGAAGATAAACTGGTAGTTAGCTGTGTACATAGATAGCAAGAATATATGTAGATATGTAGGCAGGTAGGCGGGTAGTTAGCTCTGTACATAGATTGCAAGAATATATGTAGATATGTAGGCAGGTAGGCGGGTAGTTAGCTGTGTACATAGATTGCAAGAATATAAGTAGATAGATAGGCAGGTAGGTACATAGGGTAGTTATATATGTAGCAGGCAAGTAGTTCTGTACATAGATAGTAAGTAGAATGTAAGCAGGCAATTAGTTAGCTGTGATATGTAGGATAGGCAGGCAAGTAGTAGTTAGCTGTATGTACATAGATGTAGTAAGAATATAAGAATATAAGTAGATATGTAAGCAGGCAATTAGTTAGCTGTGTATATAGATAGTAAGAAAAAAAGTAGATAGGCAGGCAGGTAAGTAGTTAGCAGTGTATAAAGATAGCTAGAAAATAAGTAGATAGGTAGGCAGGCAGGCGAGTAGTTAGCTGTGTACATAGATAGTAAAAAAATAAGTAGATAGGTAGGCAAGTAGTGAGCTATTTAAAAAAACATTATGGACAGAGACAATCTATAGTTTGATTTACCATAGTGGTTGGCAGTCAGATCAACTTGAAAGGTAACTCTCTGTCCCTTGCGGTAAGTGTTGGTTATGGTCCCTGTGGCGTACTTGCCGCCGGCTTCGTTTTCATAAGGCCCATCAAAAGGATCTCCACACACGCCACACCGGTAACCTTCGCTGATTTCATGCTGGACACACCATACAAGTTACGTTAGTCACCCGGTCGACCCATCACGTTTCAAATCATCACTCACATCAAATGTGACTGTAATACGACCGTTTAATGCCCTAGCACCTACACAAAGATTTTGGTGCCCTCATTCCCCCTCCACTTTTCCATCAACCCCCCCCCCCCCCCCCCCCCCCCCATCCCCCGGCCCCACCCCAGTCTTAATAGGATTATAGGATCCTGGCAAAACAAGTGTGTGCTGGGGCCCCATTACAGCCACTGACAGGAGTTAAATATAAACAGTCACTTGACAGATTAGCATAGAACCATAGAACATCCACTGACAGGAGTTAAATATAAACGGTCACCTGATGGATTAGCATGGAACCCTACAACAGCGACTGACAGGAGTTAAATATAAACTGTCACTTGACAGATTAGCATAGAACCATAGAACATCCACTGACAGGAGTTAAATATAAACGGTCACCTGATGGATTAGCATGGAACCCTACAACAGCGACTGACAGGAGTTAAATATAAACTGTCACTTGACAGATTAGCATAGAACCATAGAACATCCACTGACATGGAGTTAAATATAAACGGTCACTTGATAGATTAGCATGGAACCATATAACAGCCACTGACATGGAGTTAAATATAAACGGTCACTTGATAGATTAGCATGGAACCCTACAACAGCCACTGACAGGAGTTAAATATAAACGGTCACTTGATAGATTAGCATGGAACCCTACAACAGCCACTGACAGGAGTTAAATATAAACTGTCACTTGACAGATTAGCATAGAACCATAGAACATCCACTGACAGGAGTTAAATATAAACGGTCACCTGATGGATTAGCATGGAACCCTACAACAGCGACTGACAGGAGTTAAATATAAACTGTCACTTGACAGATTAGCATAGAACCATAGAACATCCACTGACATGGAGTTAAATATAAACGGTCACTTGATAGATTAGCATGGAACCATATAACAGCCACTGACATGGAGTTAAATATAAACGGTCACTTGATAGATTAGCATGGAACCCTACAACAGCCACTGACATGGAGTTAAATATAAACGGTCACTTGATAGATTCGCATCGGGATCCTATGTTCTTGGAGCTCCCATGTAAGTGCCAGGCGGGCCCATGTGTTCAGACGGTCCTGGTACGCCCAATCCCACACCCCCCCCCCCAATATTTAATATATATATGCGTGTGTGTGTGTGTGTGTGTGTGTGTGTGTGTGTGTGTGTGTGTGTGATTCAAAATACAAACATAATCACCGAAAAAAAAATTCTTGAAATGAAACAAATGTTACAATAGCTTGCGGAATTGTATCTATATTTTTATTTTTCCACTTTATTTATTTTGGACAAGTTTTCTCCTTTTGTTTTAAACTGCAAAGTCTTTGATATCATATCCTTAAATTTTTTTGCATATACAATATTTGCTTATATATTTAATAGAGATACAGCAACCAGCTTGCCTTATTTTTAAGTTTTTATAGCGTGATTTTTTTTTTTTTTTCAAATATGCTTCACCCGATAAAATAAACGATCAGCTCAAATGCTATTTAAAATTTACATGGTGCCCCCTCCCTTTTGATGCCCTAAGCACAGGCTTAATGTACCTAATGGTTAAACCGGCCCTGGAGGTACTCATCCGATCGGTCGCTGTGATGCTGACCACATCATCCAACTGGTGCCGACTGATCTTAGAGGTTGGACTGAGTCGCCATCCTTTAAGTCAAAGTCTAGACACAGTTCATTGAAACTAAGTCCCAAATCATTGCCACTAAGTCCCAAATCATTGCCATTAAGTCCCAAATCATTGCCACTAAGTCCCAGATCAGGTCCCAAGTCACCAAGAATGCCACCAACTTGGGTCCGATATCAAGTCACTTCAGCTATCAAGTCGTCTGCGAGTCGGCCACGGGAAAATAAAAAATGGTGAAAATATAAAATCGGAAATGACAGTGTGAAAAATTCAGGAGGTTTATATATATATATATATATATATATATATATATATATATATATATATATATATATATATATATATATATATATATATATATATATATGCGCGCGCACACACACACGCGCGCGTACACACACACACGCTCGGAAGAGGTCGACTGTGAAAACGAAATATAATGTTTTCTGTCATGTTTTATATAAAGACGTTTTCTTCTTCTACTTCTTCTTCTTTGCGTTCACCAGCTGTAAACTCTGGCGGAAAGTTATGGTTATTCGTCTACTTCTGGACTGCAATCCTGTTCCAGAACCTGAGTGGTGCTTGTGCATCCGTTTTACAGATCTGACTCATTTGTATGCAGACTGCTTGTTCCTTGCCTCTCAGGCAGATGCACTCCGACTTTTAAGGACGCGCCCAATTAGTCGACTCTTACGACATGCTTCATGGGTAGGCAGTGAGTCTGTTCTTGTTTTCCCTATAACAAGGTGCCCCGGAACCCACACGGGAATAAAGACGTTTAAAAATATGACGTTGACGACCAAACCTCACTATGACCGGCTGCGAAAAATGAGTAGTATCGAATGGTCGAAGTCACATGTCGCATGTATAGTTGCGAGTCACTGGACCAAAGTCGAGTTGCAAGTCGGTAATAACCGACTTAAGTCGGAATAGAATCTAAGTCGCAAGACTCGAGTTCTGACCACTGCTAAAACAATATGACATACGACTATCAACATGTGGTCGAGGAGCTGTTGGCGTAAGACGGACCTTTCACTCGTCCGTTTTTAGATGAGCCCTCGTTAGAATAATGGCCGACACTTGCCTGCAGGAGAAAATGTCAAGGCGAATGGTTCCCTTATGGTTCCTTAATAGTTGTTTTCAAATGAAACTAATGGTTCCCTAATGGTTCCTTAATGGTTATTTTCAAATGAAACTAATGGTTCCCTAATGGTTCCTTAATGGTTGTTTTCAAATGAAACTAATGGGTTCCTAATGGTTCCTTAAATGGTTGTTTTCAAATGAAACTAATGGTTCCCTAATGGTTCCCTAATGGTTCTTTTTAAATTCAACTAATGGTTCTTTTCAAATTGGGGAACCTTTTACTTGTGAATCCCGCTACGTAATTTATTCCATAATCTTCAAAAGATGCAACAAGGCATACATTGGTGAGACTGGCAGGAGGCTGGCTGATTGTTTCCGGGAACACCGCTGCGATATTGAAAGGAAGGCACTTGAACCAATCCCACTACATTTGTACAGCTCTGACCACAGAGGTAAAGATAATTTATCTGTCACAGCTTTAAAGTATTGCCCTGGCGATCATACCACGTGCCTCGCTTTAGAAAATCGCCTCATCCACAGCCTAGGTGTTCTTAGTCAAGGTGGCATAAATAGCCAACATACCTTTATCTAAACAGTTTTACCATTATCACGCTTTTAATTGTTTTTCTTTTATTCTATTTTATTTCGTATCATTACTTTATTCTGTCTTTTATCAGTATCATTAATGTATCATTTACGCTTGTTATTTCTTTTTTTTTCCCATAATTATATTATAAATTAACAATATTACTTTTTTTATTTTGACGACTATATATATATATATATATATATTTCTTGGGCCGTCGTTTATTTCATTTTATTTCATTCACTCCACATCAAATTTTTTTTAAACGAGACCCCTTAGATATCTGAATACTCTCTTCTTTGTTACATTTGTGTAGTTCACTTCATGTTTGACAAAAGCTGCTTTCCGAAACCTTTTTTTTTTTTTTTTTGCAGGTTTTTCTGCTTCCCCATTTCGTTAAGCTTTTTAGTCTCATTTCACCAGAATTCCTGGTACACGAGTCACGTTGCTCCAATAGTTATCTCATATTTTGTTTCTCCTGACATTATTCAGTTGTCTGGACTCCACACACTACACCATATTGGTACACGTTGCTCCAATAGTTATCTCATATTTTGTTTTTCCTGACATTATTCAGTTGTCTGGACTCCACACACTACACCATATTGGTACACGTTGCTCCAATAGTTATCTCATATTTTGTTTTTCCTGACATTATTCAGTTGTCTGGACTCCACACACTACACCATATTGGTACACGCTGCTCCAATAGTCAACTCTCATACTGACTGTTATTTGTTTAACTCATTCTGACCCAAACATTTAGTAGCTAAAATAAAGATTGACATAATAAGTTAAATAATACAAGCCTAGTACAGAAAGGCAACTCAAGCCAGTTGTAGTCACAGTTTTGAGACCACTCATCTTCCTTGTGGCAACTCATGATGTGAGTTATAGAACTCTAGCTACAGAACTCATGATGTGAGTTATAGAACTCTAGCTACAGGACTCATGATGTGAGTTATAGAACTCTAGCTACAGGACTCATGATGTGAGTTAGGGAACTCTAGCTACAGGACTCATGATGTGAGTTAGGGAACTCTAGCTACAGAGCTCATGATGTTAGTTATGGAACTCTAGCTACAGAACTCAAGATGTGAGTTATGGAACTCTAGCTACAGAACTCATGATGTGAGTTATAGAACTCTAGCTACAGAACTCTTGATGTGAGTTATGGAACCCTAGCTACAGAACTCATGATGTGAGTTATGGAACCCTAGCTACAGAACTCATGATGTGAGTTATGGAACCCTAGCTACAGAACTCATGATGTGAGTTATGGAACCCTAGCTACAGAACTCATGATGTGAGTTATGGAACTCTAGCTACAGAACTCATGATGTGAGTTATAGAACTCTAGCTACAGAACTCATGATGTGAGTTATGGAACCCTAGCTACAGAACTCATGATGTAAGTTATGGAACCCTAGCTACAGAACTCAAGATGTGAGTTATGGAACCCTAACTACAGAACTCATGATGTGAGTTATAGAACCCTAGCTACAGAACTCATGATGTGAGTTATGGAACTCTAGCTACAGAACTCATGATGTAAGTTATGGAACCCTAGCTACAGAACTCGTGATGTGAGTCATGGAACCCTAGCTACAGAACTCATGATGTGAGTTATGGAACTCTAGCTATTCGAATGTCGTGGAAAAGGGAAAAGAAAAAATGCCGACATCCTACGTGATCTAAGCATGAGGATAAACAGCATCCCGTTCTGAAAGCAGCGGTATTTTGGCCCTGTCAAACGACAAAGAAGCTTGTAGAGAGAGAGAGCGAGCGGTGATGGTAAGTACTTCTTCCAGAAAACGACGCAGAGGCAGACCTCCGCCAAGGTGCATACAAGACATTATAGATTCTTTGGCCATGAAAGCACATTAGACTGGAGAATTAGTTATAGAAAGAAACACTCTCAGGTGGGCTGTGACGAGATCAATGTTCTA